TTCCCTTTCACTTTGTTAGGCTCCAACCCTAGACTGGAGCATAACAAAATTGGGGGCTCGTCCTTTCCTTCTTTCCTTTTCGTACTTGTCTGGCGGATTTTTTTGTGTGGGGGGGTGTTGTGGTGGTTGCAATAATAGTGATGGCCGGGTCAACCTCGTTGCTTTTACCCTTTACCCCACACTTGAACAATTCGATGAGTGCCGTAACGATGATCTGCTGCAAATTGCAGATTTCTTTAATGTTTTGGTTCCCGCTGAGGCTTCCAAGCAGGTTGTTAAGAAAACCCTGCTCGACAAATTAATTCGGCAAGGTATTCTGCCTGAGTTGGGTGGGTCCCCGAGTGTTGCTGCCACCCCGGTTCGGTTGTCTGCTGCAGCGGAGGCCAGCAGCGACGATCTAGGGGTTGGACACCGCATGGATGTTGGAGATCCCCGCTCAACCAGGGAGGACCTGTTGCTTATGATTAAGCTAAGGGAGCTCGAACTCGAGATCAAGAGACAGGAGTACCAGGCTCAGCTACTCCGTGTCCGGGCAGTGGAGATTGAGGCTGACAAAGAGCTGGAGTTACGGCGGTTTGTGGGTGACCAAAAACCGGTGCCTCTTCCGCGTAAGGTACCCACACCAGGTACGACTCTTGTTCCTGTGTTTCGGGAAAATGAGGTAGACGCCTACTTTTCCATTTTTGAACGCATTGCCATGATGTTGAACTGGCCCAAACATCTCTGGTCATTGTTATTGCAATGCAAGCCTGTAGGTAAGGCACAGGAGGTTTGTTCGGCTCTCACGTTAGAGCAGAGTCTCGATTACGATATTGTGAAGGCTACTGTGCTTAGGGCTTACGAATTAGTGCCAGAAGCCTATCGACAAAACTTTAGGAAGCTTCAGAAATCCGCCAGCCAAACATACGTGGACTTTGCACGCGAGAAAGCAGTTCTCTTTGATAAGTGGTGCAGCGCCAGCGGGGTGTTTAATTTCGACCAGCTTAAGGAACTGGTATTGCTGGAGGAATTTAAAAACTGTGTTCCTGATCGGGTGGTAGTTTATTTAAACGAACAAAACGTCGCTTCTTTGACCGAAGCTGCCACCCTCGCTGACGAGTTCATTTTGAACCATAAAACTGTGTTTACCCCGACTCCTTTGCCTAGTAAAACTCACCCTCATCCAGTTGTGGCTTCTCCCTCGTCAACACCGTCTCCCCCGCCCACGGAGAAACGCGAGTGCTTCTATTGTCATGAAGTGGGCCATATTATATCTGTTTGTACTGCGTTAAAGTGCAAGGAAGCTCATGCAGCAACCAGAAAAGTGAATGTTGCTGCCTGCCCCGACAGTTCTTCACCCTTGTCCTCTCGTATTGACGCTGCTTTTGAACCTTTTGTATTTACTGGTTCTGTTTCGCTCAGGGAGACTGACGCCCGACACCCTGTTACTATCCTGCTGGATACGGGAGCCGCTCAGTCCATCTTGGTGGAAGGGGTTATTCCCCTGTGTAACAAGACGCACTGTGATATGGACTTGTTGGTACAGGGAATTGATTTATGTGTGGCTGGAGTTCCCCTGCACACCGTTTATTTGTGTACTTCCGATTTCTCGGGATATGTGCGGGTTGCTGTCCAATCCCAGTTACCTGTCCTGGGTATTACATTTATCCTTGGGAATGATATAGCAGGAAAGAGAATTGTTCCCTTACCCGAAGTGGTTTTGGACCATGTGATATCTGATAGCGATGTTGCGTTGGATTTGCCCCAAGTGTTTCCTGCTTGTGTGTTTACGCGGGCACAGCGGTGCCAGCTCGCCGATATTGACCTTGAGGACACGTTCATGTCCGTGCCAGTGTTAGACAAACCTTTGAAAATTGAGTCTGTGACCCCGGTTCCCGATAACACTGTTACCTCCCCTGAAGTTCCCTCCACTACGGATGCACTGATCTCA